GATGGGCTGAATTGCACAAAACGCATGATCGCACCGGCTAGTCTGATGCGCGTTGCTATTTATTGTGCGTTTTGTGCTGTGTAACGGTTGCGCAAAATGCGTACTGTCACGTCCTGCTTATGCGTTTTGTGCTGTGTAACAGCAGTATAAAACGCATATTGTCACGGTGTTGTGTATGTGTGTGTGTGTGTGTGTGTGTGTGTGCCCGCAGCAACTTGTCCGCAACTTTCAACTCGAAAATAACAAAAGCTAGGAAGCTGGAAATTTTGGAGGACGTTCCCCGCTCACGTGTAAATTTAAATTCAGCCTCCCTGTGCCCGCGGGTAACACGTGTGGCCCCACAAAAGTTTTGGCAAGTAAAATTATTATCACAGGAACCATGGAAGCTAGAAGGCTGAAATTTTGTGGGCGTTTTCCCTGCCCACGTGCAACTCCTCAAATTTGAATTCAGAGAAGTGGAAATCACTAACAGGCAGTCGTTCAGTGGACGGAATTGCACAAAACCCATGATCGCAACGGTTGTCCTGGTGCGCACCGCTATTTATCTGTTTATGTGTGGCTTTTACCGAGTGCATTTTATCCGGGGTTTTCAACTCGGGGACCATGCAAATTGAAAGCCGAAATTTCGGGAGAAAATTCGATGTTTACACGCGACTCAGTGAATTCAGCCTTCACCTAGGCATAGGTACTAAGTACGGAATTTTTGGTGGGAAATTTTTAAATTCGGGAACCACAAAAGTTGGGGCGCTAAAATTTGAGGAAAAACACCCTGCCCACGCGAGACCTCACAAATTTAAATTCGGCCTTTACCTATGCCCAAATTTCACGTGCGGACACACGAAAGTTTTGGCGGGAAATTATCTAACTCGAATACCAAAAGAGCTAGAAAGCTGAAATTTTGGGAGGAAGGTTTCCTGTCTACGGAAACCAAACGAAACAGGAAGGTTTGAAATTTCAGAATGTTTTCTGACTGCTGTGTGATGCTAAACAATCTACGTCTAAGTCTCGCGTACGGACACGTGAAAGTTTTGGCCAAACAGAAAATTCCCCATAATTTCTGCGCAAATCGAACAGTAAAACAGTGCACACTTCTAACAACAAACATTCACACGACACAATGATCTCATCGGCGCTACCCGGGTGCACGCCGCTATTTGTTGTTGATTTTAGCAGAAATGTCTGCGCACAGTGCATGCCCCACGTTGAATCTGAGTACATTGCGAGCTGCACTGGCCGACGTGGAGAATATTCTGTTCTGGGAAGCCAAGAAGACGTGGCCGTCGTTGAAAGTCATCCGTGAAAAGGTACATCAGCCGAAAATGCTCGCAGAGACTAATTTCTGAATGTTTTATTGCGACCCTAATTGTTATTTTATTAGATTGGTGAGTGCCCCGTTTGTAGGTGTGTGTGTGTAACACGCCGCGTCCTATATACATGTTTATTAATACATAGTAAAGTAAAAGTAAAGTAAAAGGACAATGTATAAAAAGTAGGTGAGACTCTGGGAAGCCGAAGTTCCCCAGAATAGGAGTAGTAGTTATATAGAAAAGTAAGTCGCAGTAGTAAATCGGTAATGGCGATCCCGGCGATGGGGAGGAGTGCTTTTATACCCCAAGGGACAAAGATCGAAAGTTTAATGAGGGTAGGGTGGTCAAAGTTTGAACCAGGGGCAGGAGTACTGCGTCATGGTAAAGCAGTTGGTCTTTAATCTATTTTTAACAAAAATCATTAATCATTATTTGATATATTACGCGACAGTTTTAATAGACATTCCTCAGCGGACGACACTGTTCACGGGTAGTACACATATCGAGGACAGTACTTGACTATGTCTGATGTACTTCAGGACAGTACTTCAGTACATTTGACGTCTAATTAAAGACAATTTTCATTTGGTGGTTCAACCTCCCATGGCAGTGTTCATCTGACCAGACTACTTCATACAGTACTGTTTCAAGGCAACATTCGTTCGACGCTGCTTCAGTCCAGTTATAATGTAGCAATGCTTTAAAACAGTCTTTCTGGACACCATTTTTCTCGGCGATAGTACTGTAGTACAAAATCCCCAAGGCACCGCTCCAGTGCAGTCTTTATTCGGTATTTCTGCTCTAGGAAGGTCTATTTCTGGATGTGCTATTCACTACACCATCCACCTTTATGCTCCCCACTTACATTCTGTGTATAAGCTACATAGACGTTGTTTACACAGATATACGTGAGCCGTTAGCATAAAAGTACTCATAGGCGGGCCCAGGATGGGTGGAGGGGAGGGAAGTGGGGAGAGGGAGGCATAAGTGGGGCTTCTACAGGCAGTGAGCGAGGGAGGAGGGGGTAGAGGTGAGTGAGGTTTCTGGCATAGCGAAGATCGGGAGCGGGATGAACGGGAAGAAGAACTGGATCTATCGGTGGGGCGACGGCCGTGGGGTGGAGGAATGAGGCTGGGAGGAGCGGGTGACGGGGAAAGTGTGAAAGAGAGTTTTCTTCAGTTTTAGCTTTAGTCCCCGACTTTTGTAGCACCTGTATCTGTGCTGCTGGGGAAGGAGAGGGGGGAGGAGGGGATGCATCCACCTGCATAAGTACTCATCATTTGTTTGATGTATTTGCGTTACCTCCAGTTAGTATCAACTGCCCAATCGATGAATGTACGCCAAGAATTCCCCTCAAAGGACAGTTTATTTCCTCGCAGGGTACCACTTAATAAAAGGCAAAATCCTCCGGTTGTCAGCAAGACGAGCGACGTGCCTTGACTGCTTGCATTTTATATTCTGGTGTAATTGCACTGGGATCCTGCATGCCGTTCATCATATTTTCAATCTAGCCAGAAAAAAAAACTTCGGAAATCCTTTGTTCGATTCTCTCCCCCTAAACAACGTTCATTTGCGGCCACTCGCATTCGTACGTTACTGCTATCAACAGAATATGGGTGCATTCGTTTTGGCCTGGAGTGACCAGCACTCAAAAGTCACCAAGCAATCCTTGGAAGAGTCGGTCCCTGTGAGTCTTTATAGCAGTTGGCTGGTGCCGTGGAATTTTGGTAATAAGTGGGTTTTTTTGAGTTCTGACAGCCAAACTCCGAATAGGATTTGCCTGGCCCGTTCCATGCTCACAGCAGCGATAAAATATAAGAATAAATTCTAGGTTCTGCCAGATCTGTATCACATTGTGTCGCTTCCGGAAACGGCACTGTTACTTACCGATGAGAACAAGGAGCATTTGGCTGTATGCATCAATCTGCTCAAAGCTACTCTTCAGTACTGCACTCCAAGTCCTGGAAAAGTTGTGGTATGTAAATTTTGGAAAAATTGCCAGTTGCATAACTGGTGAAAAAGAAGGCAACAAATTGTGCAGCTAATGCAGCATTTTTTAAAAATCAAACTGCTCAGTTGTTGTTGGACTTCCGATGTTAACGCAACATGGCCGTGTGCTACGCATAGATAATCTTGTCTGTTTTAGCCGTCAATCTTCGCTGATAGGGTTAAATGAAAACCGCTAGTGGGAAAAGCAATCTCTCTATGATTTATCGTAATGCCAAGCTCATGCAGTCCTAATAAGACCAAGCATCTAACTATCTGGATAGTTTCACAATCATGTTGTTACCGATTTGGCACCGCAGCTAATTATATTTTAAAACCATTGACATTCTAAGTTGGGCCGGACCAAGAATCGTATTGAGAAAGTCAAAGAAATCACGCACGGAGGGTACTGAATGGTCCCCGATAGTCGTTCTGACCGGGATCTAGGTGAATCTTGTGACTCAGTAAACTGCACTGGGCATATCTGAGTACCCCTGAGAGCAGCACAGCAGAATTCCCAGCGATATTAATATCGTGAAACGGTTTGCAGATTAGCTCGGATGTGACGCTTAGCACACAAGAGACGCTTGACTCATTTCATAGTAGCCGTAGAGAGGCAATCGAGCGTACAATTGTCCTCAACAAGACAGAACTTCCCACGCTGAATGATATAATCGGTCATGACGAGGTTTTTTTTTTCACTCTTTTTTATTATGCGTTTTTTGCAGCTATGCAATGTAGAAAAAGCATATTGACGAGGGGTTGTCTGTATGTGTGTGTGTGTGTGTGTGTGTCCGTGCGTGACGCACGCTTTTTCATCTCAAGACCGACAAAAGCTACAGGGCTGAAACTTTGGAAACTTAATCTACATGCACGTACGGATCTCAGTTCCTAAAATGGGCGCCATTACTCTCGTGGTACCCACGTAAGAGCCCGCCAAAGTTTTTTACGGATAAGTTCATAATTCGGGAATTTGAGAAGCTAGAATGCTGAAATTTCACAGAGACGTTCCCTATCCACGTAAGTCTTAATTTGAGCTTCAAACCAGTCCCCGGATACGCATGGTACTTACGTACAGGCCCGCCAAAGTTTTTTCGGGTAAGTTGGTAACTCGAGTACCTGAAAAGCTAAAGAATTGTAACTTTGAGAGGATATTCCCCGTCCACCTAAGTCTTATTCAGTTCAAGTCTAGCGCTCGGGTATGTGCGGTACCCACGCACGGACTCATCGAAGTTTTTTTCGGGCAAGTTGATAACTCGAGTACCCGAAAAGCTGAAGGACTGTAATTTTAAGAGAATATTCCCCGTCCACATAAGTCTCATTCAGCTCAAACCCAGCCCCCGGATATGCATGGTGCCCACGCGCGAGTCCGTGAAAT